ATACAAACTAGACAATAGGTTCGATCCCAAACACAATTGCCTATTGCTAACTCCTTATAGTATCTAGGAGGCTATTGTCTTTAAATTCTATTTAGTTATTTTTTTTGATTTCTTTTAAATAAAAGATTTTCCACTTGATACTTGTGTTTTTAAAATTTGCTAAAGCTTGCTAGTTTTTAGTAAATTTTGTTACAATACCTGTGTTTTTGAAATTTGACAAAATTTGCTATTTTTTATTAAATTTTATTACAATATCTTAAATTTATAAAAATAATTTATTTTATTTAATTTTTATAAATATATTTGATAAAATTTTTAAAAATATCTCAACAAAATATTCAACAAAATATTCAACATATTTGTTCAGTTTGTTTAAGCAATATTAAAAAGTTTAGAAATATTACAAATGATCTTGAAAACAAAATCGATAATTGTCCTAATAAAGAATATTATCAAAATCTTCAACCTTATATTAATAAATTATGCTCTAATTGTTATATGACAATTATAGATTCTTATAATAGAAGAATATCTACAATCAACAGAATTGGTAAATCAACTAATTTAATAAAAACTAATAAATTAGATGATTTAATTGAAATTAATGAACCAAATTTAATGGAAGTAGATAATTTGATAGAAATTAATAATAATTTAGTAAATTTAATAGAATTAATCGAGACTCAAAAAAAGAAATTAATTAAAGATAATATAACTGAAATTAATCAACAATTTATAGATATTAAAGTTAATATAACTAATGATATAGTCTCAATAGATAAAGAAAATTTTGATCAATTAATTAATTTAATTATTCAAAAAGATTTAAAAATAGAAACTTTAACTAATTAAAATAATTTAACAATAATTGGCACAAATAATTTAGGTGAATATTATATTATATTGTAATTATTTTAATTTTAATATTATTTAATATTAACTAATTTTTTTTAAAGATCAAAACTATTCATTTTCTCAACAATTAGAATTATTAACAACTGTATTATTAAAATATCAACAAAATCATGATGAATATTTACTAGATCCTGAACAATTTCAACAAATGATTGAATTAAATGAGCCAAAATTAAAAGGATTTTTTAATGAAATAACAAATGTATTAATTCCAAAAAGAAGACTTAATAAGAATATAGAAAAAGCAAAAAAACAAGTAGTTGCATATTGTTATCTTTTAGTTAGATTAAGAAATTAATTTGCTAATAATTTTAAATTAGATCTTGGACTTTATTTACAATCATCAGGACTAAGTAATTCTGAAATTAATACTTTATCAAATATTGGACTTAGTGTTCATACAAAAACACTTCAAAGATATAAAAAAGAGACTGCAAAAACCCATTTAATAAAACTTAATGAATATTTTAATTTAAATGTAAGTTATTATAATCTAATTTTTTATTGTATTTAATTTTAAACTTATTAATTAAAATAATTATTTTTTAGTCAAATACTTTTTATTGTTTTAATATTGATGATTTTTATGATATCTATGGAATACGTAGACCAAATACAACATCACTTAATACTGTAAATCATATGGCAACATGTGTAGCAAAACCAATTATTAATACAAGTCTAGCATTAGCAATTATAAATAATGATTTATTTAAAAATTGCTCATTTTTTAATCCAAATAATATTGAAGAATTATCTATTATAAGATATTTATATAATAATATTGAAGGTTCATTTGATATAAGCTATAATATGCAAAAATTTAATTGGATAACTAATAATATTCAATTTGAAAATCAAAATCAAATTGAATTACTTACGATACATATGTATGATGATGCAATAAGTGAGCATAAAGAAGAAAGATCAATGAAAAATATTAAAATAATTGGTGTACAAAATCAAAATTTAAAATCAATAAATGATTATTTAGATGCATTAAAAATAATTACTTCAATAGAATCTTTTCATCCATATCTTCAAGAAAATATTATACCAGTAATTGCTAATTGGCCAGGACAATATTTTATTCGAAAAATTTTAACACATTATTATAAAAAAGTTGATATAGAATATTTTAATTCTTTAATAGTTCCTGATAATATTAGTAATTTTATTCCAATTATTGAATCTCTTCATATTTCTTTAAATTTTGAGAACAAGTTATTCTTGTTCATTATTCATTTTTTAAAAAATTTTTTCATATAATACACCGTGTTCAAAAATATTTCACACACAATATTCCACTACCAGACAATATACTTGAACTAATTAACAACATTAATATTAAACA